TTGACCACTGAGCCATCGCTCCAGCCCCTAAAACCTTAACCTTGAGCTCATCTTCGTAAGTAGACTATATTTTAAACGAAGCATTACTTGTCTACGTAGTTCTCAGGCTCACCTGTCCTCGTTTTACACAGCAGTGCCTTTAAGGTCACCAGATAAGTGATTATTGAAGTAACAGAGGAGTGAGCTCCGCCATGTCACCGCATGTAAAATGCTCCTCTTAGCCAAGGCTTCAGGGTCCTTCGCCATCAGCGAATGTTTTACTGGTGACTTCATCTCGCTCCACACCCTCACTGTGGCCAGCAGTTAGTTCTTTCTCGTTCGTATGGAAGATTTCCACTGCTTGGAATGCTTTCCTTCACTTTCTAACCTAACTTGAAGGTTATGTCATTATTCTGTCTCTGTGAGCTCCATGTCTTGATCCTCAGAACTTAGTCACATGGGAGGATGTCTGAATTGGGTGGGTGGGGAGGTGGATAGATGAGAATATGAGTGAGTAGACGGTTGGCTGGACAGGTGGATGAATGGTGAATAGATGGTGGATGGGTGGTAAACAGGTGAGTGAATGGATGATGAACTGAAAGAGAGTAGATAAAAGACTGGTGAATAGATGGTGGTTGGGTAGAGGATGTATGGATGAATCGATGGAAGGTGGATGGTGGATGGATGGATGGATAGATGGATGGAAGGTAGATTGATGGATGGATAGATGGAAGGGTGGAGGGTGGATGGGTGGGTGGAGGGTAGATGGATGGATAGGTGGATGAATGGATGGTAGACAGATAGGTGGAAGATGAATATATGGATAGGTGGATGAATAGATGGATGGATAGATAGAGGGTAGATGGATGGGTGAGGGTATATGTATGTATGGATAGGTAGATGGATGAATAGATGGAGGGTAGATGGATGGATAGAGAGTACATGGATGGAGGGTAGATGTATGCATGGATGGATGGATGGATAGGTGGATGTGGGTAGATAGAAAAATAGATGGATAGTGAACGAATGAGGTGGATGGATAGATGAATGGATATATGGTGGAGAGGAAGATGAATAGTGGGTGGATGGAGGGCAGTTGATAGATAGGTGGGTAGATGGAAGGATAGGTGAATGGATGAGGTGGATGGTAGATTGATGGATAGATGAATGGATATATGGTGGAGAGGTAGGCAGAGAGAGGGTAAATGGATGGAGGGTAGATGAGTTGGTGTTTGGAATCCTGCTATCTCTAGGTGCAATCATTTCCACTATTGGTCGTTTCTGAGGAGATGCCTGAGTTACAGGGTAGTGCAAGGAGCTTTGAACACACATGGGGTGGAATTTCTGTGGCATCAGTGGTGTGATGGAAGGTGGCATTGTAAACATCAGAAACAAGGGCTTCAAGCTGAGGCTTAACCCTAGTCTCAGAGGAAAGCCCGTGATGTTTGTGTGATAAATGATGCTGCCATCAGGACCCCCAGGGCTGAAAAAAGCACTGTGGGTTGGGTGCCTACCTCTCAGGAAGGACTTCAAAGGAGAGTGTCAGTGGCTTTTCCATCGGGTGGGTGAGGTGGACATCCAGCAGAGTTCTGGGACTTTCTTGCTCCAGGTCTCTGTTCCTCCCCCTCCGGCCTCAGTTTTCCTCTCCCTGTGCTGTGGGAAAACAATGGTGGTTACAACGTGAGTCATAGGGATCACTTCCTCTAATTTAATCTGGATTTGTTTCAAAATAGCCAAGAGCAAGGGATGCTCAGAGAAGGGTCTGAGCAGCAAACCCTGGAGGGCAGAGAGCAAAGGGCAAAGGAGAGAGGACAGGGGTCAGAGGACAGGGGTCAGAGGACAGAGGGAGGCTTTTGCATTCCTAATTCCCTACTAGGCTCTGGGTGGTATAAAAATTTCTCAAAATAGAAGTGCACTGGGGGTGAGAGACAGAGCTCTCCCCCCGCACTGCTGTGTCTATTCGTCCTTCATTTCTGGCACTCAGGGTGGAGCCCGGGCCTGGAACAGGGGCTCCAGCCCTGAGCTACAGTCCCAGCCCGACTTCCTTACGGAGAGCACTTCAAACACCGTAGAGGTTTCAGGGCTTGTCTTGGCTGGAAATTCACTTGTCAATAACAGTTGAAAGGGCTCATGACCAACCCCCACCACGAGACACACACACACACACTGCTGCTCTGAGGCAGGCATCTGGCCCCTTTGGCTCCTGTCAAGGAGTCAATATAGACACAGGAATTGAGCTGATCAGCTGTGGCTTTTCACCCCGTGAAGGAAGGGCTGCCCCTCCCGATGAGGGGTTCAGTGCTCAGCCCCAGGCGGCTCCTAACCCATGCCTAGGCTTTTTGGGTGTCTAGTCCTGTGGGACCTTCCAGGAAAGGCAAGATCTTCTCAGGCCCCTGCAAGAAGGTCATTTTGTGTGTCTGCCCTGACTCAGGCTGCCCGGAAGTGCTACAGGAGCCCTGAGGGCTGGCATTCTCTCTCTAGGGGAAGAGGGAGCCTGCTCCAGCCCCTGAGCGCTGGGCTGGACTTGGGGACAGCGGAATGCTGGGGTCGGAGAGGCAGACGATGAATTCTGAAGTATTCAGTGCGATCTCAGCTTTCCCCACGGGGATGGCAGGCGAGGAAGGCAAGGGACTCTCGGGGAAGACGGAGGCCTCCGCATAGAGTAACTGTCGTCCCTAAATGGGCTTCCCCCACAGCAACACCCGCCAGCCCTGCCTACGATGATCCCCCCAGCAGGCAGCCCCCCTCCGGGAGAGGCCCTCTTCCCCAGTGTGGCTCCTCAGGACTTCTGGAAGTCTCCCATCTCCAGCTACTCAGGGTCTGTGACGCGGCACATCAGTCACCGGGCCAACAACTTCAAACGCCACCCCAAGAGGAGGAAGTACATTCGACCCTCTCCACCCCCGCCTCCCAACACCCCGTGTCCCATTGAGCTGGTGGACTTTGGAGACTTGCACCCACAGAGGTCGTTTCGGGAGCTGCTCTTCAACGGCTGCATTCTGTTTGGCATCGAGTTCAGCTACGCCATGGAGACCGCGTACGTCACTCCGGTACTCCTGCAAATGGGCCTGCCCGACCAGCTCTACAGCCTGGTGTGGTTCATCAGCCCCATCCTTGGTGAGCCCCGATGGTGGACGGCCTCTGGAAATCTCCGGAAGCTTCCAGAAGCCTCTGCTGAAGCAGCTGGAGGGACCTGAGGGGACGAGGGCGGAGTTGAGGTCCTCTCCTTAGGATGGGGCTGTGGGGAAACACGGGTATGGCCGGTCACATCCTGTATTCTAAGTTTTTTGATCTGCGCTGGAGGGTAGGACAGACTTCAGGCCGACCCAGGATTACATCACCCAACACGCTCCCAGCTCTCCACGAGGGGGCGGGGTTTGCTGGGATTCCCAGGAAGGTCCCAGGGGCTTGGTGTCTTGTACAGCAGCAGGTCTAGGGTGGCCGGGGGCTCGACTCGGCTTCCGTTTGCAGCCTGCCCTCTCGTTGCTCTCACGTCTCGGTGCCGTGGAATATTTGCTTGCACGCGGTGCCTTGGGAGCCGCTGACTCGGCATCCGTGGCGCTGCGCTGGGGGCCGTGGCAGTAACCCCCGCCTGCTCTGTTTCAGGATTCCTGCTGCAGCCTCTGTTGGGCGCCTGGAGTGACCGATGTACCTCAAGGTTTGGAAGGAGACGTCCTTTCATTCTAGTCCTGGCGATAGGTCTGTTGTTTGGCATGGAAGTAAAACGGAAAGAAACAAGCAAAAAAACGGGGGGGTGGGGCTCAAGCAGTTCCCAGGCAGCCCCGGGCCCGACCTTGCCTGAGCCAACACCAAGAATAAATCATTTAGGTTTTTGTTTGTTTGTTTTAATAAGCTAATAAAGCTCATCTTGCCCTTGCTCGGCTTGATGGGAGGCAAACCTTGGCCTCAGTGCGAGAATGGCTCCCTTTTCTCTGGTGACTTTGTCTCTCTGTCTCCAGGGGCATTACTGGGCCTGTCACTCCTGCTCAATGGAAGGGACATTGGCATGGCCCTGGCTGACACAGCCACCAACCACAAGTGGGGCATCCTCCTGACGGTGTGCGGGGTGGTGCTGATGGACTTCAGTGCCGACTCAGCAGATAACCCCAGCCACGCCTACATGATGGATGTGTGTGGCCCTGTGGACCAGGACCGAGGCCTGAACATCCACGCCCTCATGGCAGGTGAGTGCTTTTCCTCCAGGCAAGGCTACGGCACAGCAGTGTTCAGATGTGTGACCCTTGGTGGGGGAGGGGAGGGGGAGGGCAGGGAGGGGGGCTCCTTCCTTACCTCTAGATTTAAAAATTGGTTGGTGAAATTCAAATATACAGGTCGGCATTAAAATGATCAAAATCATTTATCTTTGGTAAAGGTGCTTGACCTGAGTTTGACTCTCAGGACCCACATGGGGGAAGGAGAGAACCAACTCCTACAAATTGTCCTCTGACTCCACACACCATAGCCCCAAAATGGATAAATAGAAAATGCTTATCTTGGAACTGGGGATGTAGCTCAGTAGGCACAGTGCTTCCTAGCAGGCCCAGGACCCTAGAGTTCCCCAGCACTTTATAAACCAGGTGTGGCGGTACATGCCAGTAATCCCAACATTCAGGAGGTAGAGACAGGATCAGGAGTTCAAACTCATTGTAGACTACGGAAATTAGACTGCGATACATGAGACCCTAACAAGAGAGAGAGGAGAGAGAGAAAAGAAAGAGAGAGGGAGAGAGAGAACAGGAAAGTAGGGGGTGGTGTACTCCTTTAATCCCAGCACTAAGAAAACATACACATCGTTGTAAGTTCAAGCCCAGCCTGGTTTACATAGTGAATTCCAGGCCAGCCAGGGCTACACAGTGAGATCCTGTCTCAAATAAATAAATAAATAAATAGCCAAGAAACTGTCCTAAAAGCATTTGTGGGAGCAGGGGCGTGGGGAGGCTAGAGAGGTGGCTCAGGAGTTAAGATGTTTACTGTTCTTTCAGAGAAGATGAGTCAGTTCATCACCCACATGGAAACTCGCCCACCTGTAACTGCAGCCTCAGGTGTCCCAGTGCCTCCTCCCGCCTCCGGGCCCATCCACACTCACACACTCAACAACCCCCCCCACCATGCACATGATTTTAAAATAAGCATATAAAGACAGTAAGTATTTTTAAAACTTAAAAAGGTTGGGCATGTATAGTGCACGCCTTTAATTCTAACACTCAGGAGGCAGAGGCAGGTGGGTCTCTGAATTTGAGGTCAGCCTGGTCTACAGAGCGAGTTCCAGGCCAGTCAGAGCTATATAGTAATGTAGTGAGACCTTGTCTTTTTTTTTTTTTTTTTTCTTCACTAAGACAAGGTTTTTTGGTGTAACAGCCCTGGCTGTCCTGGAACTCACTTTGTAGACCAGGATGGCCTTGAACTCACAGAGATCCACCTGCCTCTGCTTCCAGAGTGCTGAGATCAAAGGCGTGCACCATCACTGCCTGGCTCCTGAGACTCTGTCTTTAAAAAAAAAAAAAAAAAAAAAAGTAAAAAGTAACAGAAAGAACTCAACACTGGCTTCTGGCTTCCAAACACATTTACAAATACCCAAACACACACATACAACACACACACACACACACACACACACACACACACACACACACACACACCATGGATACACACATCCCACGTAAGTAATCATCAAACTATATTATTTAGAGAATGACATCAGTCTGTATACATTTAGAACAGGCAGTTTTTTCTCCCCTGGATATTTTAAAATCCTGGATCCCAGCCTTCTGGATGGAAGCACCACTGTGTACATGTGAAGTACACATAAGTGCACAGTGTGGTTTAGTCTCCTTATTTGCAGCAGCCATGTTCCTTCCAGGGCAAGGCAAACGCTGATTCAGCAAGCATTCCTGAACCTTCTGTTCACATCAACTGACCCTGCCCAGCCTTGTTTACCTCGTTTGGCTTAAAGACACTATCGATACATACTGTTGTCTCCCCAACACTGGCCTGGTGGCTTGCAATACTGTGGCTTATGCCTGAACAGACCTCATGTGTCATGTCTTCCTCCACAAGGCAACCTCAGCCTTCTCACGCTCAGGACATTAGATAACACCTCAGTGCCAGGCTGAGTGCACCTTACACAGTGAAAACCCATGCCCTGGTTAGGGTTTCTATCGCTGTGATGAAACACCATGACCAAAAGGCAAGCTGGGGAGGAGAGGGCTTCCTTGGCTCACACTTCCACATTGTAGTCCATCACCGAAGGAAGTCAGGACAGGAACTCAAACAGGGCAGGGACCTGGAGGCAGGAGCTGATGCAGAGGCCATGGAGGGTGCTGTTTACTGACTTGCACCTTATGGCTTGCTCAGTCTGCTTTCTTATAGAATCTTAGAGACCACCAGCCCAGGGTGACTCCACCCACCATGGGCTGGGCCCTCCCCCATCAACCACTCACTAATCTATGGAAGCATTCTCTCAGCAGAGGTTTCCTCCTCTCAGAAGACTATAGTTTTCGTCAGGTTGACATAATTTAGCCAGCACAACCCAGCAGAATCCAAGGACATGCAGGCAACGAGGGGCTAAAAAGGCCTGACCAAAAAAATAAAATAAAAGACTGAGGTCACCCTGTGCTGGGCCTCATGCCTGGGGCAAGTTAATCTTCATTTGTGGGCAAATTCTTGAATGACTGTAAAAATGCCTTAAGAATTAGCTTGAGGTTATTCACAAACTGTTTTTGAATAGATGGTCTCACAAATTCAAAATGTGCAAACAAAAATCCGGAGTATTCATGCTTGTGCAGCATGCTGTGTTCACACACACAGGTGTGTGGGTGCCTGATGACATGAGAAGTGTCCCTACCAAAGTCAGGACAAGGCAAGAATGCACTAACCCCACAGAGGGACTGCTCTGAGGCAGTAGCAGAGGGCAGGAAGTCACCCTTGTCACACCATGTGAAGCACCTACTGAGACTTCCCGGGACGTACCTACAAAGCAGTGTGAGGACTCAGCAGAATGCGGGGTTGTCAGCATTCTGTGATAAAGTCAGAGCTCGGACGTAGCTCAGTGGCAGAGCACTGGCCTGGCGCTCCCAAGGCAGCAGGTTTGATCCAGTGATGTAGGGAGAATAATTCAAGTGTGGTGACTGTGCCCCAGTACTTGGGGAGGCAGAGGCAGGAGGGTCTCCCGCGTTCAAGCCCAGCCTGGTCTACATAGTGAGTCCCAGGCAGGCCAGGGCTGCATAGCAAGACTCTGTCTCAAAACAACCAGAAGGGGCATCACAGTGGCTCAGGAGGTAAAGGCACCTACCTGTCACCAGGCCTGACACATTGAGTCTGATCCCCAGAACCCACGTGCGGGAAGAAGGGGACAAACTCTTACAAGTTCACACACACACACACACACACACACACACACACACACACACACACACTAAAATTAATAAAAATTTAATTTGAAATGTTTAAATTGACAACAAAAAATTAGGAACCTCTGCTTTCCTAGGTAAAACACATATAACAAAATGACTTGGAAGGGGGAAAATGTCCCATTTAAAAATAGCAATTTAGGGGGTTGGTGAGATGGCTCAGTGGCTAAGAACACTGATTGCTCCTGCAGAGGACCTCACGGCACCTATAACTCCAGATCCAAGGGATCTGACGCCTTCTCCTGGCTACCACAGCCTCCTGTACACATGTGATGCACATAAACTCAAGCAGGCTAGCAAACATACACATAAAGTAAAAGTAAATAAATAAAAAATTGAAAAATAGAGCCATGTGTGGTGATGTATGTGTTTAATGCCAGCATTCGGGAGGCAGATGCAGGCAGATCTCTGAGTTTGAGGCCAGCCTGGTCCATATAGTGAGCCAGGGCTACATACATACAGTAATAGATTAATTTCAATATAAAATCAAATTAATAACATCCATATGACACCCGCCCTTGTTTAAGGGTCACAAATCTCCAGTGGTTCTCCCACAAGATGCACTAAAAGCTGATGACAAGGACTCCAAGTTTACCCACGAGGTGGCTCGCTGGGTAAAGGCACTTGCTGCTAAGCCTGAGGACTTCGGCTCCATCCCTAGAACCCGGAGCCATCCTCGGAGGAGGCTTTG